CCGTGGTGGAATTCACACCGGTTTCTGGGCACCTTTTCCAAGGGTTTTCTGGACATTTAAAAAGTCCCAAAAACATTTTAAACATACACATAATGTCTCTGTGTCTTAAACACCGAGATGTAATACTCTTTCTTGAATTTACATCTCTCAGCCCGCTCTTAATACACCTCGGTCATGCGCTTTTCCACGGTTTCTTTTTAGTTGTGTTCTCCGCGTTCCGCAGCGTCCCCCGGTTGGAAAGCCCCATATGATCCTCTCAGTCATGGAGGAGTGCACCCCTCCATGACCGAGTAAAACTCCTTGGTCATGGAGGTGTTCACTCCTCCATGACTGAGAGGATCATATGAGGTTTTCCAACCGGGGGAAGCTGCGGCACGCAGCGCAAAAAAAGAAAAAAAAACCCAGGTGTAAACGCGGGTAAGCGGGTTTATCAGAACCGGCTATGAAAATTAAAATTAAAATAAAATATTAAAATTCCTATGTTTTAGACACATAGGAATTATTTGTATGATTTAAAATGGTTTTTGGAACATTTTAAATGTTCAGAAAACCCTTGGAAAAGGTGGCCAGGAACCGGTTTTCAATGCGGTAAAGCGGGTACGGCGGAGACGTTGAGATTACGGCGAAACCGGGTTTAAACACGGAAAACCCGGGTACGTTTATTAATCCCCTTTTATGAAATTGATTTTGAATCTTTTTTGTAATTTTTATTTTTATTTTATATATTTGTAATCCAATATTGTTAGTACTTGCATCAAACATCTTCTTTTTTTTATTCTCCTTCCTTCATTTTTTTTTTTTTTTTTTTTTTTTCATTTTTTATGAAATAATTGATTTTGAATCTTTTTTGTAATTTTTATTTTTATTTTTTTGTCCAGTGTTGTCTTGCCTTAATCTTCATTTTTCATTTTTTTTTTTTTCACAAAAATCAATCTACCAATCTGCAATCTTTTTTCAATCATAAAAAAAGACTGTTTGTTTTGAATTTTAAACTTTTTAATGAAACCAGAACATCAATGGATAAACCAGCTTTCCAGTCAAGACACATACTTGGTGAGTCAGTGCAAGATTTATTTTCTCCCTGTGTAATACCATTCTTATATGTTGATTTTGGATCCATGTATAGGTGTAGGTGAATCAAATGAAATACAGTTTCAATTTTTTTTTTTTTTGGGGGGGGGATCATCACTGATACTTCTTTGGTCTCAGTGGCTAATTTTTCAATCCTTATTTTGGATTCCAGCAGGAATCTTAAGTCTGAATAGCTGCATAAATTTCTGACCAATGGTTTAGGAAGGACACCACAGTCTGCCTCTTCTTCTCTGCTTTGATCAATTCTTTGAATATCAATCTATCACATGATAATATAATAAAAAAACCCAGGTTTTCTCATGCAGGAATAAAAAAGAATCAGTAACTTGATATAACAAGTGTTGAAAGAATTATGTGTTATTTTGAGAATACACACATCTTAAAGCGCTAGTGATTACCCTTTCACCCAATGTGTAATTATGGAAAGAATTTATTATTGGAAAACAACAGATAATTTAATTATTGGAAGCAAGAACCAATATTGAGGCAAGCTTCAATATCAGTAGTAGTGACTGCAATGTGTGTTTTAGTGATATGACAAATTGTATACATAATAAGTGTGACAAGTGAGTTTGAAGTGAATAGGGGACTGGTGAATAGTGATGTGGTGAATTAGATCAAGGGGTTGTGAAACGGTGGTTTGGTGAAAAAATGATCCCACTGATGATTTTACTTTCATACTAGGGAGCTTGTGGCTAAACCGCTTCCCAAGCCCTCAGGCACATCAACCTGAAGAATTTACAATAGGTTGCTATAAACCCAAAACCAGACAGATCTGTTTTTTTCTCAAAACATCAGCACCACAGTTTCCATTATTAAACTGAAGTTTTAACAGATTCATTAGTAGATTGAGACATGATCTAGGTCTGATAGAGATTACTTTACAGAAGTAAGAGCTATCTTGAAATCAGCCATACATATTAAATATTGAGTACAAGAATCTTAGTTATTTGTTTAGTACATTTAGAGGGGCAGATCTTTCAAACCACCCGTAACTTTTAATAGACTTTCAACCTATTTGCAATTTATTTCCCCCTCAAGGGATATTTTGATATACATATACTTTACCATGTCTATCTGTCCCAGGAGTCCTACAACAGCAAATAGTCTGCGTTACTTGGCAAGACTATTGACCATGACATCAGACCCCCAGTCTGCGCTCTTGGACAGCAAAACATCTGCTCACATGCCCTCAGAAAACTCTGTGTTTGTCAATTATCAGTTGAAGAAAGCTCAGGTTGAAATTGCAGATGGCAACACTCTTGAATTCATTGGAAAAGGGGGCTTTATTGAGTTGGATGGGTTTGCTGAGGTGTTTAGGGAGCTGGGAGCTGGATGGGCTGGCTGAGGTGTGTACAGGAGCTGGGTGGAGCTGTGTAGTGGGAGCTGGATGGGTTGGCTGAAGTGGGTCTCAGAAGCAGTTTGAACCCTGCTCTTTAATATCTAGGGCCTTGGAAAAAGAACTCCCTTGGACTTTTTGACAACTCCCAAATACCATAGCGTCCGTTTGGAATAGTTCCTCCAAATGGATGGCCAACTTTGGGAGTCA